TCAGCAGGGAATTCTGAAAGCTGTCATGTGCCTGAGGCTGCTAAGACCAAATTGGTTTACCAGGCTGCGAAAGAGCACAAGCTCCACGGACACTAATAGTTTGTTCTGTGGGGGGCTCCCCCCTCCCTCCTCCCCAGTTTTGCTTCTTTCCTACAACTATTTCAGATCTTACCAGAACTGGAAAGAGAAGGAAACACTTTCAGAAGCACAGTATTAGCTAAGGAAATGAAGCAGATTTATCCTTCTTGCTTTTTACTAATACTGGTGCTCTATGACTTCCAGTTGGTTTGGGGATTGTTTTAGATACACATTATTTGGTTACTTTTTCTCCTAAAATGTCATCAGCCACCAGCCATCCCCAGCTGCCAGCAGCACTCAATTAACCTTTGTGCCAATTCCTACAAGCCTATTCCTTACAAAGTGTGTGGGGGGGAAACCACTTAACTAAGCTCAGCACTTGTGTGTTGCCTGAGGTACCATAAAGGACTATGATGATAGTGTATGTTTTTATAATGTGAACCAAAATCTTGTGCTCAAGCTGCAGAGGTCACTTCAGCCTCCCTGGCCAGCAACAGGAACCCTCATGGCCCCAGAGCTGCTTTGCTCAGGAGACCTGTGCTCACCATGCTCTGCCACACCACTTTTAAGTAACGAGCACAAGGAAATGCTGGGAGTTTCTGGGAGGATGTTTCTGAATCTTTATCTGCAGTATTATTTATTGTTATTTTAAAATTTATGACTGTATTGGAACACTGTGTAACTCCTTCATGATTTCTGCATTCTACCCTCTAGGCTTAGACTGGGACAGCATTTCAGAGTGTGTAGAATGGATGGTTCCCTTTGTGCGTGTGGCCAAAAAAGTCCCTGTGAAGCTGAAGAACTTTAAGAAGGTTGCAGTAGAAGATCGACATAATATCCAAACACACACAAATTATTTGGACATGCTGGTAGGTGGTTTGTGGACTTGCAGTTCAGGCAGCTGAGAGTGCACTACACCTCCCTCCTCCAGAGGCAGGGAAGGGTGGACACCTTCCTCCTCACACCTGGCCTGGCTCACCTCTCCCAGTGTGGTCAGTGGTGCCTAACCTTTTGTTTCTGGCTCCTGCTTGATGATAAGCTCAAGGTGTTTTACCATAACACTTGCAGGCTGTAAGCAAAGACTTGGATTAGAAGTACTGGTGAAGTGTTTAAAAGATAATTATCTTTACTTTGTTGTGTAATGCTGCCTTGGTTTTTTTATTCAGTATCATCATAACTTTGGAGTACTTGAGTTGCACTAGCAGTGTGAGGAAGTACTGCTGAATAGTATTAGTGAAACAAAAAAGTAGACCTTGTCACAGGTATTAACTGTCATCTTCCTCCTCCACCACACAGGAAGAAGTCAACAGTGGAGTAGCATCTACTGCCCCAGGTCAGCTATCACCTGTGTCAACAGGAGGAATAATAACCCCTCCCAAAAGTACAGAGAAGAAATGAAATATGGATAACAAACAGTTTCAGGAACAGGACTTGGCACTTCAGAACAAGACCACACTAAAGATGACTCATGCTCTTTACTGCTGTTCAAGACTTGGGCAGTAAAAGATGCATCAAACAGCAGCAGATGGAAGCTGAGACCGGTGTCCTCCTCCAGACTTGGTAAAAGATTTAGACCAAGCATCCCTCCATGCTATCACAGGAGCCTGGACTACTTTAGTCCATTCTCAGACATGACTTAGTTCAACTCTGACCATTCCTAACTTATGAATTTCAAGAACTCTTTAAACATAGCTGAGTGGCAAAGTTTGCCCACTCGACTTAAAGCAAGTTTGATGTGTAACTTGGGCTAGCCATACGGGAGAACTTAATGACAGCTTGTACATATTACCTCTTCTTGACTTGTTTTTGTTTTTTTTTTTTTTCTTGGTAAGGTCAGAGCTTAATGCCTGTCAGTTAGTCACCCATGAGCTCAGGTGCAGTATTACAGAGGCCAGCGGGTAAGCAGTTTACTTTTCTGAAACCACTCTGCCCTTGCATTAGTGTAGCCAGCTCTGTATCAAATTCTAGCTCTGCGTGAGGCTGATGAATTTAAGGTGTCCCTTTAGGGCTGCCATAAGCTTCAGGTCTAGTGTAGCACTGACCTCAGGTAAGAGTACAAGCAAAGAAGGTGCTGCTGAACTAACCTTAACTGGAAGAAGTACAGACCTTGAAGGAAGGGGTTCTATTTCATAAGATCCAGCCACTGTCAACATAATGAGAACTGGAGAGGGTATGGCAAGAAGTGAGCCGCTGGTGCTCTACAACCACTCATATTGTAGGAACAGTATTTTAAACTAACTGTGGAGCTGTAGTTTATCAGTGTTTATAAACAGCATTAACTACTGTGTTTTCCTTGGAATATTAACTACCTCTGCCTATGAGGTGCTTCCCTCCTGTGACGAAGGGACAGTCTAGGGAAGGATGGGTATCGGTCCTCCTCCCTCTTTCAAGGTGCTCCTGCCTGTGCCCCCCACCCAGGGACAAGGTGCTCATGTTGCACTAGAGCATTAGGTGCCACCCACAGCCACATTAAACTTGTGCTCTTCGCAAACTTGAATTCACATCTTCAAACAAGCCATTGTACAGCTAGCTGCAGTTGCTTCCAGCCTTCTGTACAGTTTGTAAAAATAAGGGGTTTATAATAAGATTTCATCTATTTCTAAAAAGAAAGATACTAGACTGTAAATGTTGTATAAAAATTTAAATGAATTTAAAAAATAAAGTCTTCAAAGTTTTTTTTTTTTTCCACTTCTACACATTTTATAATAGTCTTCCAGCATTAGCCTAGAAGTAAAGCTTTGCCATTGCTTGAAGAAACTTCTTTTTTCTTCTCTGTGCTGCAAGCTGTAGGACTTCCTCAGGGTTACTGGCATTCAGCTCTGTCTGGCCAATGGCTTTTATCTGAAAACAAGAGGAGATGTCACTCTAGTAAGGCTGTTTTACTGCAAGGCATATTCAACAGGTGGGTTTTTTTTTCTGTAGCATGCTATACCACCCCACCCCAGAGCCATCTGAGTATGACGACATCAGCATCCAGCCTCTATTGAGAACCGCGCAACAAAGTTAAAACTGGAAGTGGCAATTCTTTTCAAAAGATGGTTTCAGGGAGGGAAAGACACAGTAAGGAAATCCCATACCCCAAAGCACCCTGTGTTCACTTACTGCTATCTGCCGCTTGTCTGTCTCGCCTCTTTTGTGGTGGAGATCTGAGGGTGAGTCAAGAAAAGACAGTTGGGTAGGAAATAGATTTTTTCCAGCCATCCACTTCCAGTGAGAGCTTTCTGTAGGGGTAGTGTAGTGAAAGGATACATGTCAAATACTCCAAGATGGTGACATCCCAGATGTATTCATAATACGAGTCCATGGCATCATGACTGGAAGAAAACACAGGTTAGGTTCTCTCTAACACATTCACATATTGTGTATATATCTTTACAAACTTCACTGTAACATGTACCTGTTTTGTTCCTGCAGTGCCTTAAATGCAGTTTTATAGTCTACTTCTCTAAGGAACTGGCATAAAATAGCTACCTGTAAGGGAAGACACACAGGTGATTTTCACAGCCTTAATTCCCCACAGACAGACATCTACAGCACACCTCACTAGTCCCACCCTGTTCTAGACCCAACCAAGGGCTGGTTTCCACAGCAGGCAAGTTCTGAGCACCTGTGCTTCCAGAGCATACACAACTCATTCTGAAATACCAGCAACAATAGTAGCAAAAAGGAAGAAAAAGGGTTTTTACTCAAATCTGAAGGGACTGACCTGGCTTCCAGGCTTCTAAATGCATTTAATAGCGCCTGAAATCAGAGCCTAATATAAGCCTTGTTTCTTCCTGGAGAATGAGCAATCTCACTGAACAACACTGGCCATAAGTCAAGACAAGGCCAGGTTCCCAACATCACCCCGCTGACACCCTACACTCTCTCAACTCTATTAAAAAAAAAAAAAAAATCCATCTATATCCCAAGAGGAAAAACAGGACAAAAACACCCCACCCAGACTATTTCTACTTTTTACAACATTTCCAAGTGTATGTATTTACTCATTGGTTTGGGTCCTTTTAGTGTCCTAGAAGCAACAGTGACAAAAACCCCTACTTTATTGCAGATGGCATTTACAAGGAAAGTTGGATTCAGTTTTACTTTTTAGAAAGTTCTCCCCCCCCTTTTTAACATCAAAATATTTAAACACAAATGTTTTACTTAATGCCATGTTTCACTTCTTACCTGGGTGTGACAGTTGAGTAAAGAACAACACTTGATCATTCTTTTTATCACCTTCAGAAGGGTCAAAAAACAACACACAGGGTTTAAAATGCTAGTATTGGAACACAAGCAGCATTTTTTTTTTTTTTTCAAAATACAAGGGACCAGCTAAAGTATATTCTTCTACCCGCCCTCCCCACCAATTCCTGGGTTTTAGCACATCCACCAATCAACAGAGCTTTCATTTCATTTTCATTCACTTTGGAGACTTCTCAAGAGCACAATGTGTGCTGCAGAACAAAGCACTGCGTTTCTGTGGTCTGTTCAATAGCTTCACCTGTATCTCGTGCCGCCCACAGACAAGGCCTGGCCTGGCCAGGAGCAGCACAGCCAGTGGGCTCCCCGACAAAAGCTCTCGCACCAAGGCAGACATGTGCTGGCGAGCAGCAGTGCCACTGTGTGACAGCACGGTGGTCCCAGCTGGCGCTCCGTCACGAGGCACAGCTTAGACTGGGCTGTGAACCTTCAGGATCCCAGACAGCCTCTGCAGCTCTCATTTGCCACAGGAATGTGAAAGGAGCAGCAATCAGACAGGGCACATAAATAACCTCCTTCCCTGGGTCTAGAAAGTTCCTTCATATTGCCCACTGAAACACAGCCTACAAGTGGTTTCCTAATGAACAAGACTAATGCCTGGATAAAGATTAAAGTGACTGCAAGATGCCACCAGAACATGCTGTGGCTGGGACTGAAGATTCCCCCCAACACACAGAGTTAAGGGGGTCTCACTCACGGCCCGCTTGCAAAGCAACAGGCACACACTGTGTAGAGTGCCGTACCCTCAGCACACTCTGACAGCAGTGAGTTACAACCCTACCTATCCGTGGACAGCCCTGCACAGCGCTGCGACACAGCTCTGCTCACTGTCACAGTCTGGAGAAAAATACAAGTGTAAGTGCGTGAAAAGGAGCCAACCTTGTCTGGATCCACACTCCTAGCCCTGGTCTGTGTTAGCTAGAGCAGACAGTATTACATAAGCATTTAGATAATACATTTCACAGAATCACTGAATTTTCAGAGTTGGAAGGGACCTCTAGAGATCATCTAGTGCAACTCCCCTGCTAAAGCAGGATTGCCCAGAGCACATTACTCAGGACTGCATCCAGGCGGGTTTTGAAAATCTCCGGAGAAGGGGACTCCACAACCTCCCTGGGCAGCCTGTGCCAGTGCTCTGTCACCCTCACCGTAAAGAAGTTTTTCCGTGTGTTGGAATGGAACTTCCTATGTTCCAACTTGTGCCCATTGCCCCTCGTCCTGTCACTGGGAACCACCAAGAAGAGTCTGGCTCCATCCTCCTTCAACCCACCCTTTACATATTTGTAAGCAATAATGTCTCCCCTCAGCCTTCTCTTCTCCAGGCTAAAGAGTCCCAGCTCTCTCAGCCTTTCCTCGTAAGGGAGATACTCCAATCCCTCAATCATCTTGGTTGCCCTTCGCTGGACTCCCTCTTGAACTGGGGAGCCCAAAACTGGACACAGTATCCCAGTTGTGACCTCACCAGTGCTGAGTAGAGGGGGAGAATGACCTCCCTTGACCTACTGGTCACAAATGAGCTCACTTGTGCTCATCTGCACCATGGGTGGAAGCAAGCAGGCTCCATCCATTCCACACCAGCACCAGAAGCACAGTAGGAGCTGGACATTTCCAGTTGCTGTAGGCTCCGGCCAGCACTCCAGCACAGCCGGTGAGGCAGAGCAAGTGCTGCTGCACTGTCCTGACCTGCTCTGCCCATCCAGCACTGCACAACACAGCATGGCCCTGCAGGGATGAGCTGGGGGATCGCCACACCACACAACGCTGTGTGCGCTCCTGGCTTTTTCATTTGCTCACTACCACACCAGAGTCCAGCACCGGTGCTTTCCCAGTTGGGCGCTTTGCGCACTTGGTCTCTGCAAACTAAAAGAAAAGCTTTCTGTGCTTCAGCAAAGGAGAAGCTTCAGATTTTTCTATGGCCTTCAAGCAACAAGCAAAGAAAAAAAATGGATCTATAAAGATTCATATCCCTAAATGTATCAAGATATAAAAATCTTACAGGCTACAGGAATGTGTGTGTGTTGAGCAGTTTTGCCTCTGCAGAGACTTAGGATGCTGACCAAATCCAAAGAGATATTTTTGTACATCTACATCCCATTTTAACTCACCTGGTCTGTGTACACATCTGGTGGTACCATTTTATTAAAGAAGTCTGAGCATACAGCTCCTGCCTGTAGATAATAGTGAAGGGCTGCTGAATACTGATTCGTTGCTGCAGTGGAGAAAAGTCAAATAAGGTCTTAAAAGTAAACACAGCAGTTATTTCTAAGACTCAGATTAATTGTTTATAGAATTACTCAGATATACATATCTCATAGCTGAATTCTACTAGGAAAGCGACTTGCA